GTTCCTTAAGTCTTTCTAACAATATGACCGAGTTGCGAAAACATGATCAAACAAGTTCTATACAACGAAAGGAGACTGCGACCACACAAAAGGCGACACCATCTTGGTCTTCATACCTTCGAATAGACTTTTCAACCCAAATGCTGCTAAGGACAACGCCGGTAAAACTCTTTATTCTGGCCACTGAACTGAGATATTGCAGATTCTAAGAAAAAAGTAAATACGCTAATCGGGAATTTCTTTGTATTAATGAAAATATAATTTGATGCAACATATGCTTGAAGTTAAGCTGGTGATCACAGATTTCAATGGGCCAGTTTGCTAGATAACAAAATAACAGGGCTGCCAAATTGCAGAGCCCTTTATCAAGTTTTCGAATATATTTACAGACAATTTATAAGGAAAGAGAAGGAAGTTATATAAAAAATGTGCATAAAAGATTGATTTTCTAGTCCTCTCCAGTTATAACTTCTTCAATTCGACGTATAAACTTAACACGAATCTCATTCGTTTGGTCTCCTCGCAGAATATCCTGAACAAAACGCGCATCAACATCTAGCTGAACCTGACAAGTAAATGAGTAGCATGAAAGAGAAGTGAACGTGGTTAGCTTATATAAAATATTTATTGGAGATTACAACTAAGGCACATTTATTGTAAATGACGAAGACAAGCAAATACTAAGAGTGACAACAAAATAAACGCAGTTCAATATAATTTTGTAATGTAAGGCTGATTAAAATAGTTTGAAAGAAACACAAAAATGTAACGTGTTTAATTCAGGCAAAGGGAAGCTTTAAATCGTGATTATTCCAATTATATAAATGATTTTTATATAATTGAATTAGATAAGAAACATGTGGATAGGAGCTGTTGATAGTAAAATTATTTAATTGGGAAAAAGATGCTCACATTATGAAGAGCTCCTTTTATAGCACCGACAAGAACATTTGAATAAAGTAGACTTGGGTGGTCTCGAGGAAGATCGACAAATTCTGTGAGGGGATTATTCGAATCGATAACAAGCGAGAATTCATCGCCAGCTTGACTAAATTTGCTAATGGTAGGAGTGATTCCAAGAAACATTTTAAACCCCTTAAATAAAGAAAGAAAAAATTAGAGGGATCACCAGTGACGAAGGAGAAGGGTGATCAAAGCCGAAATACCTTAACGAGTCCATTTGCCGTATCGCGAAAATTTGTACATCTTCCAGAATTACCCTTGGCAAGATAGTCTTCAACCAACCTAGAGCCAATATTAAAACCTCTATTTGTAACTAAAAAAAGAAGCAAATTACATTTTCTCAAGCTGCTCATTAACGACTTCATCTGTGTCAAAATCTTTGACCAATTGAGCTACTAGAGCCCCATAAGTAAAAGTAAACAATTCAGTATTCTAAAGTTAAATAAACCAGAAAATTACTATTTTCTTAGCATCTGAAGCCCTGACACCCTGACGAGACATAGCAATTATTAAACCACGCGGCGGCAAAATATGTATAAGTAAATTAAAAAACAATGCCTTTGTAAAAAAGTTTACATATGGCGATTTTAAAACCTGAAGCTTTTAATAGGAATGGAGAAGTTTTGAATTTATCTATATTTTTTATCTAGGATCACTTTATTCCCCCTGAATGTTATTTTCTTAATATCATTTTGCTCAATTTTACCTTTAGGTCCCATTAATTTATTATGCCAATAATTCTGGTAATTTTTACTTTGTTCATAATACTGAATGATTATATCTTTTTGCCGGGATTGCCTCATGTAGTATTCATACTATGAACTTATAGCAAATGTTTCCCTAGATTTATTTCCCCTTCCCATAAGTTTATTAAAACCTTATTGATAAAACTTCGCTCAAAGATTATTATTAATTGACTAATAACAGGTGAATTACCTAAGCGATGTAATAAAACAAGAATATATACATTATACATTTACTCACTCTTGTTGCTTCTGATATATGCATCTTAATTATTGAAGCCCTATTTTCCTGCATATTACCATGTGAATTTCAATCCTAAATAGCATCAAATAGCGTTTCCAAATCCTCAATAAATAAGATTTATATTTGTGACTTGGATTTGTAGAGGTGAACAGTCCATCTTGAGGTAGTGGGTTGACCTCGTTGTCGCAACTTGGTTTTGTTGTCAGGGCGACTTAGTAGAACGCATCTAGTCCGAAGTAGTTTGTCATAGTAATTGTCATAATTCCTAGCATCAATTAGTGGACTTGGTACATTTTCAAACGTTTAACCTGCATCGTAGTCGGCATGATTAGTGAGTGCTGAAATTCTCCGC